AGAGAGAGAGAGAGAGAGAGAGAGAGAGAGAGAGAGAGAGAGAGAGAGAGAGAGAGAGACAGACAGACAGACAGACAGACAGACAGACAGACCGCTCACTACGTTCATCTTGATTCCTGACTGCTACCTTCATTTTCAGAAGAATCTGACCACATATGTGCGTTACATTCAGTCCAGTGGAATGTACTGCAAACACGTCGCGGGTTCGTCCTGAAATGGCCGCAGCGCACGCGCACACACGAGAGAGAGAGAGAGAGAGAGAGAGAGAGAGAGAGAGAGAGAGAGAGAGAGAGAGAGAGAGCACCCACACATATGGGCGGAATGGGCGGGATGAACGCCATGAACTCCGGGATGGGAGGAGGCGATGTCTCCCCTAACAGCCTGCGTCACCCCCGTATCCCGTCTGGCGTAGTGACCTGTTTTGTTTGTGGGGGCAACGGTCGCTACACCCGGAACTGTTTGCAAAGGATAAGCAAGCACTGCCAAGCGGAGACCCGAGGATTCGAGGAAGAATGTGGAGGTGAGGGAGCTGCTCCTGCGGATAGATAAACGTGAGAAAGAGGTAGAAGAGAGGAGGAGCCGGGAAGCAGAGGAGGAGATACGCAAGAAGGAAGATGAGCGCAGAGAGAGTGAAACGTTGCGGGACGAAGACGCGAGGGAAGCAAAGCTTGCGGCGGCGATCATCCGGATTCTCTCGCACAGAAAGGAGTCGGCCATACCACCTCAACTTCCGTCCGAAGCGATCACCAAGGTCCAGGGCCTGAATGCCGCAGGAGATTAGAAGTGACGTAGCGAAGCGAGGAAAAAAACAAACAGAAAAAAAAGCAGAGAGGAAGTAAGAGAGAAGAGAGGGAAGCTAGTGGAAGCATTGGAGACTCGGAAGAGGCCGAGAAAGGAGGGCATCGCAATGGTCGTGTGGCTGTTAGTTGCGCGACCGGGAAGGCTCCTACTCCTCAGAAAAAGGAGAACGCCCAGGTGACTGGTACACCCGTGAAGGAAGATGGATTTGACACTCCCCACAACTTCCAGGAGTGTCCTGACGAGCGCAGCCGTGAAGTGAAGGAAGATGGATTTGAGATTCCTCAGATTCTGAAGGCGTGTCCAGCCGAGTGTCTTACCGAAGGTTTAGTCGACTTCACACTTAGGTCCTCGCTGCACTACTCTCGAAATGTGCAAATCGAGAGTGAATCTTCCGCTAGAATATGAAAAGATACACGTCCATGATTTTTGTCTTTTGTGCATGTCGAGAGTAGTACAGCGAGACCCTTAATCAGAGCAAACTACTAAGCGCTATGAAGGGGGATGAGATACGGAAATTTGTCATCAGGGGCGTGTCGACTCCACAAAGAAGGAAGGTTTATATACGACTGCGTAAGGTGCCACACGCGTCTCGCTTACGAGGGCTTCTTC